ATTTGACATAAAAACATAGTTTATGTTAGCAGATCTTTCCATCAATTTGGACCGGACACAATTCTGTTATATGGACAAGCTCCTACACTTTCTGCTCATTTTGTAGAAGAGCCCCTTAGATAAATAACCTTAGGAACATCAAATTGGCATGCATTAAACTTTCTTTGCACTTAAAGCTAAATAGAAGCTGTGTTTTGACTCTACATTCTCTAACAATTAACACAAGACCCTAACTGCTGTAATGCAACAACTGACACTTCACAGAGAAAAAAAAATCTGCTGTATTTACACTTTCCCAGTGATGTGATTCCTTAATTTCTCTGTCAGTGGTATCTACTGGCTTTTGCATAGCCAAATATTTTATGGAGTTTAGGAATAAAATAAAGGATTAGGGTAAAAATAAAGTTCTAATCTTAAAAAAAAAAAAAAAGGAAAATAGCATCGATGCTTAGAAAACATCTAACAATTATATGTTAGGGCTCAGGGCTCAGGGCTGAGGCTGCCATTATGTTTGCCTGAGCATGAACATTAAGTTTTAAGTGCAGCTATTAATGCAAACACTCAGAAAATTCAGATCCCCCCACCCCAAAACAAGAACTTGAATACTGGCCTCCCTTGAAACCTGTGTCCTGCTTACCCTATGGAACGGTCTAACTTGCATCACCAGTCTTTCCGGTTGAGTTGCACTCTCAAAGAAGAGTGAAGCTATATAAAGAACAATGAGAGAGTTGCCAGTCCTGTTCCATTTTCAGACTCTATTGACAAAGAGAACAAGCTATAGTTTTGTCACTTATATGACCAGAAAAGTGCAGTAACACTTACTTTGATTTAAACAGCAAAAGGCACTCAAGGCTAATGAAGACAAGCTGATATGTTAGTAGGTTTTCAGCAAGTACATGGTTCAGAGCAGAAATCAAATGATGGCAGCCTTGACTATCAAGAAAGAAAAGTGTAGGCAGACCAATTTAAGAAATAGAATATATGCAGATATTTGCATTTCCTTTCTCATGGCATCCATGCCTGGAACTCTTATGTTTTTAAGCCACTTTTTAAAATTCAGGAGCTTAGAGGCCTTGAAAACACCATCTCTGCCACTCTCCATCTCTACAAAGTTACAGTCGGAACGGCAAGCTGGAGTTAGAAGGTTAAGGAATACCTACATTGAGATTAAACTGCAAACCTATGCATAAAAACAAATACTATGCTTGAAACTAGAGCAGCAGGCCAGCATATTTTACATTGTGATTTTTATTTAGTAAGTTCACAGCACTTGAAGGTGTGATGGCCACCTTCCAGTGCTATTGACATGACAACTTCTTTGCCCCAGACAGCTTTCAGGGGCAGTCACAAAGCAAGAGACCACCACATAATGCAGTACAGTGAATAAAACAGGACAAGGTGTACAGTGAGAAGTAGGTATGCATGTTCTGATGGCCCTATTAAATACATATGAAACAACAGTTAGGATTTAACAGGGACCTTTGGATTTTGAGGAGAAAAAATGCAGTTCTTGTAGGAGGCACAGCGGCAGTTTTAAGTATGATGGGAAGAGAAAGCCTGTTTGTACTAACGTTTTCCACTTTTCATGTTAAAAATGTCAGGCTTTCAGAGGGCAGAGAAAACACTATGTGTAGATGAAGAGGGACAAGAGGCAAAACAGTGCCAGAGCCATCAAAGACATAGGACCATAAGTCTGGAAGAGATTTCCCAGCTCAGCAGCTAGACAGGACTGGGCTTGTACACTATGCAGAAGACCCTAATAGCCAAGTAATTACATAGCTTCTTCCTCGCAGTAGGCAAATGTTTTGAAGTACCATTTCTTTCCATTCAAAGAGCTTTACTCCTCCCTTTGGAGCAGTCTCTGCAATGTACTGGGCTGCAGAAGCAGGGCCACTGGCCTACTTAATGATCCCTGGCCTTGGGCAATGGGGAAACCCAGAACTTCAAGACTTTTAGAAAGTGTTTGTTTCTAAGGGATAAAAAGGACTGGCTCTCTGGAGCACAGGGAGGTTTGCTTTATGAATTTGGGAAGAGGCTCATTTCTACATATAAGAACAACTGCACCAGATCACTCCAAAGATCCTTCTGAGGCCAGTATCTCGTCCTTGGCACTGACCAATAAGAAATGTGTAGGGGAAAATATAAAACCAGGTCAACTACAATGTCTTCCTACAACACTGTTAACCTGCAACAACTTGTGTTTCAGGGACCTCCTGAATCAAAGTTGGTGTTTTTGTATTTAACAGTTTGCAATAGGATTTTCAGGCATGAGTCTGAACAGCTACTTTTTAAACCCATGTAAATTTTTAGCATCAGCAACATCCTGCAATGAGGACTTCCTCAACTGAAACACACAGTAGGTCAAAAGCGTCACCCTCCTATTTGCTCTGACCCTGCCTCCAGCTGTTTTCATTCAGTGCACCCCACTTCTTGTTTGGCAAGGGACAGCAAACAGTCACTATCTGGTCACTCAGGGTTTTATCATGTCCTTCTTCAGTTATTTCTTGTCCCGACTGAAGACTCCTAGTCTGTACATCAGATTATCCTAGCTGCTTTTGTCAGCAGCTTATCTGGTTCTGCTGTATTGTATAAAAACAGTCTTGACTCTTGTCACTGTGTTATATTAAACCTGAGTTTATGTATTCAAATCCTTCAAAAGTTTCTGTTCACTTGCCCAGAACACATATTCTGGTTGCTGGGTGTAATTCCCAGACCTCCCTGCCAATCCTTTTCTAGAACTGGTGGTACATTAGCTGTCTTCTGCTCTCCTGCTATTTTGGTGGTTTTGAACAAGAGGTAATACAGAACAGTCATTCAACTAAAGGAAAGTAGATAAGGTGGGCTTTAAAGGATCATACCTTTCTGCTAGGAAATTCCTGGTTATAAGGGATCTTCTGCAGACTGAAAGGAATCTTTAATTTTTCAGATTCTGAGGAAGAGAATGAGAAAGTTACTCCCCTTTCCCCATCTACCCCCCTCCTGGCTGCTTTCTCCTGGGGCAACAACTGTTATGTCCTGTATCTCACTACCCCAGTTCTGGTGATGTGAATCAGAAGGTAGAGGTGTAGCAAAATGGCTGAAAGAAACTATTTCCACATGGTCAGATTTTCTTTTGTTCAAGCCAGTGTCTGTGCAGACACCAAGGGAAAAAATCATCAAGATCTACAGGTGTTTCCACTTGTGCCAGAACATCTATTACTCAACACCTGGCAAAACCAGCAGCTGACTATGGATGGGTTCCTGTCCACACTTATAAGAAGCTGGTGAACTTACAGCGTCCTGGTGGACAGTCCACGGATTAACTCAGCTTTGGGAGCAGAGTTTTCACCACCGGGACTGTTCTAGGACTTTCTCCAAGTTCTGCAATGGGAGTGTTGGCTTCCCAGGTAAACAGAGGCCCTTCCCCACAATGTCTTCACTGGATGGGGAATGAGATATCAGTGTTGCTTGGCACCGTGTTCACTCACTCCATGGTAAATTGGAGTGCCACTCATTGCTCCTGCAGTGCTGCCAGTTGGATCTAAAGAGACTGCTGACCTGAGGAGTATCAGCCCCACTGCCCGTACTTGCAGCAACTACACACAGAGTCATCAGGACAGGGGGCCAGGGATTCACCAAGAAGTCCCTGGGTCTAGAGAAAGGGCAGTGCCAGACTGGAAGGGTGAATGGAGGTTGCACTGGAGAGGAAAGCCAAGGCAGATCCAGAGCAAAGGAGAGGAACAAAGCCAAGCTAGAACAAGATGGGGACAACCCAAGTACAGCAAAAGCCAAGAAGCTCTGAGAAGCCATTCTGCTACAGCCAGGATCAGCTGAAGCCCTCCAAAGGAGGCTTTGCTCCAAGAAGTCCATAAAATGCTCTGCCATGCATGAGTAAGGACTGCTGCCCCTTCCCATTCTCTGGGAGTGGAGCTGCAGGTGAGGCTTACAGTTAATCTTATTTCACCCAGCAGCCAGATATGAGCAGTGCCAGTGCTCCAATGCTGTGTGAATGGGCTTAGTGAAAAACACACAGCATAGGTGCTCCTTGAGGGAATTTGGAAAAATAACATCAGAATCCCCTCTCCAGTTCACACTGAACTTCTGTGGTCCCATGCAGAAGGACATGCTGCACTTCTCAGCATGCAGGAATTGGTTTTCCAAGCCCTGGACAGGTTTGGCAAGCCACTGATGCTGTCTATCAAGTTCCCCTACTCCCCCAGCTGTTACCATACCTACAGCTGCACTGGCAGAGCAGTAGTGGTGTGTCCTCTCTCATCCACTTCCAGCAAAGTCCCACCAATTTAGTTAGAGAAGTAAGGCCGCAGGCAGGCACTTTCTCCCAAATTCAGCTGAAGAGATTTTGGCCTTCAGATGTCCACATCCCATCCACTCCCCAAGCCAGGTTAGCACCCCACAGCTCCACTGTTAGGGTGGTTTGAGACGGCTCTAAATCATGTCAAACAAACTCAGAGCATCTACTCAAACTGCTCAGCCTAATTCAGACTTGTGGGTGGACATGTATTTTAAAATAAAGTGGTAGAGCCGAGGATAAAAATCATCTCAGCTTTCAGATACACAAGTCTTTCTTCATGCCTGAAGCAAAAAAAGCAGCTTTCTAAAGCAACTACAAGGAAAGACCAAAAGGTTCAGAGTTCAGTCCACGGAGCTTTCCTTCAATGTGATGTTGAGCAGTTGCTGGTGGTAGCATTCGGTACAGCTGGAACTGGCAAGGCTGCCTAGTCACACCCTTATTCTCCTTTTTCTACTCTATCCATTTAACCTGCTAAGATAAAGCTATTTAGAGATACAGTGGGATAAGAATGGAGTGTCCAGGGAAGGAGGGGAAGAAACTAAAGGTTTTAATTAAGACAATACTCTTACGCAGGATACCAGAAAACTCAGCACTGAGATATAACCTGTTTTGGTCCAAGTACAGCATACATATACCTCCTCATGACACACACCTCATTACAACAGAACTACAACATGCCTGAATGTGGTCACAGTGCAGACACCAAACAGAAGGGACTTCCATTATCTTTAATACACAGGCAAAGCCTACAGAGACCACTGTTCCCTGTCTCAATATAACTGGGTAAGTTGCCACAGAGATACGTTCATATTAGAGAAAAAAAACAGCTGCAAGTGTCTCTAGAGCACTGCTGGCCATATTTATCTTGTGGGTTACACTTGGCCAACTCTGATTTAAAAATCAAAGCAGGTACATTTTTCCCCCACTTTAATACCAAGTAACAGATTTACTAAATTGAGCCCTTACTGGCAACCCAGTGGATGTGAAAAGAGGTTACTCTCTTAGAAAAAAACAGAACAGACAAATACGTAAGACACAGCCCACCAATTTCCTCGGTACATTGGGGCATACATGCTTGCAACATGAACTCCATAAAGCTGTATTTTATACAGCTGCATTTTAAAAACCGCTGAACAGGTGATACTCCTTAGCTGGCCTCCAGGATTCAGTTCAGCAGATTTGCAGTTACACAGTCGCACAGATTTCTCTTTTCCACCTGAAGAAGCAGAGTTTCTGTCTATAGGAGGGGAAACAAAAGCAACGTCAAAAAACAAGTGTCAGTGCTGTAAAGCTAATTAGCTCCCGAAGAAAAGTACATTCTACTTTTATTCTAAGACTTGGAATTGGTTGTATGAGGTAAGGCTTGAGGTAAAAATCAGAGTTATTGCTTACTGGTCTGCAAAGTAATTTAGCTTTTGCATGATTAGTTGGCATACCAACATGGCAATACTTCCTGTGACATGGAGAAATTCAGTCCAGTACACATTCATGTTTTTCACATTAGTACATTCAGTATGTGTCTGGGTGCTGTTATTTTTGTTTAAAGTTATTTGTCTTTCTTACAATCTTACTTCAACTGCATGAACTGGAGCATAAGCTCTCAAGTTCATAAGAGGCTTAAAAAAACCCCCAAACCTGTCAGAAATTTTAAAAACTACTTAAAAACAGACTAAACAAATTAAATTTAGAGTATTGCAGCCTGGACTCACTGTTGAAAGTTATACAGAGAAAGTAAAGCATAATTTAATTATAGAACCATAAATCATAGAATATCTCAAGTTGGAAGGGACCCGTAAGGATCATCACGTCCAACTCTGCTCCTCGCAGGACTCCCTACAACTAAACCATATGACTAAGAGCATTGTCCAGATGCTCCTTGAACTCTGACAGGCTTGGTGCCATGACCCTGGGGAGTCTGTTCTAGTGACCGACCACCCTCTCAGTGAAGAAATTTACTTCCATTTTAACTTCTCCTGCTTCACTGTTATCGTTAATATGCTGTTGGAGCCTAAAATAGATGATAGGTGCTGAGCTGGCATACAGCCATCACTGTTCAAACATGTGGTGCGATTGCTGGCTTCTTTAAAGAAAGGAGTCCCAAACTGGTGAAAGCAGAGGTCTCCCAGTTGAACTGGGGTTCATCAATATCAGGAGATCATTGCTGCCCACAGGGTTTTCTGGAGCAATGAGGGTGGGTTGGGAACTTCTCAGAGCTGGAGCTGCATATGATCAGAAAGGCCTGTATCCTCTCAGCCTACCTGTGCAAGAAGGGGCTGAGGACCAGGGAAGGGACAGCAGGGGTGCGTAAGGGAAATTTGGGGATCCTTCCTCTCTAGCACCCACACACTTTGGTTTTCCTGGCTGTTTGGAGCACTTGCAGCTTCAGTAGATGCATGACGCAGCACAGAGCTGTTTGACATCAACGTCATATCTTCATCTCAGTTTGTCTATCATGAACTGAAGTTGTATCTGAGAATCAGTCTGATCCAAGAGAAGACTTCCTCCTTATTGTCACTGGGATGCACTAGTTGTGGGAAATCCAGTCACCAAATTAATCTCCGCTGGTGTGACCAGCTACACAAAAAAAGGGCATTATGAAGACTACCAGCTCTAAATGCCAGTGAAATCCATCCTTAATCTGCCTGTCTTACGATTTTCACATGAGATGGAATTGCCATGTGATCAAAGGCTGTGTTTTAAAAGCTGCGTTATCCATTGGCCCACATCAACTAAAGACACTTAAAGCAGAGCTGGGCTGAAGCATCCTGCTTACCACCTGCCTCCTTAGTACAGGAAAAACTATCTATTGGTCAGGTTTTTTTCCCAGGTGATAAATCGCTAGACACAAGCCTGTGGTTCTCTATTAAATCAGATATCGCTTTTGATTGTTTCAGCTACCCTGCAAAACTGGAAAGATCTGACCAGACTTTGCTAATCAACTAAAAGACACTCAGTCACCACCTTCTAACCATCTCCTTGACATCATTTGCAGTGGTTTGAATAAGGGAGGTTGACAGCATGCCAACAGCTTTGGAGCTAAGCCCCAAGGCTGCTTACCATCTTATATATCTTTAATAACATTTTCAAGCCTTTGTTTTTACTTTCATGGGCACATCTGACTTAATGTGCTTTGAACATTCCAAATAACCATTGACAGTTTAGAAAGCAATGAAGAACAAAATGAATAGCACTAAATACAGCTTTGCTGACTGTTTTGTGAGCATGATCACAAAGCCATTTGCACAGAGATTTGTTATTATCCCCTGGTGGGTTAAAACACATTTTTTAAAAAAGAAAAACACCCCCAAAAAAACCAACAAAAAACCCCAAACAAGGCAGGGTCCAGATTCTGAAGCTACAAAAAAGCTGGTAAGTTCCAGCTAAAAATGCAGTTCCAGAGCTCCTTAAAGTTGCAATGCAATGTCCACTGGTTAACTCTTGAAAAATGTGTTGGAATTTTGAAAATAAGAGTCTATAGAGCAGACTTACAGTGAACTATGTAGCCCATGGACTGGATTTGTTTTACAGGATTTGTTTTATGCTTGCTCCCTGCTGGCCTCTGTCTTGAGCAGGTTTTTGATGCAGTAGGGAGCTGGCTGTAAACTGGCTGAATGGTTTTGATGGTAGCGGCTCCCTCCCAGCAGTACAAGAACCCTCCCCCTATTCATGATCAGAGCTGCACCTGCCACATACTGCATTTTGGCTGAGTGGTGAATCAGATATCCCCAGAAAAGATTGCCCGGAGTTGGTTACTGCTGTTAACACAACTAATCCAGCCTGCAACCTGCTCCAAGGGGCCAGCAGAAACAAAAGGGTGGAAAACAGTATGCAGGGGGGCAAACAGTTCTGATATGTGCAGGGGTAGTAGCCAGCCTCTCAGAGGTGGTCTGTGACTCTTCTCTTACCGCATAAGTAAAATGCAGCCAGCCTGTCATTCAGTGATCATCACATCAGTGTAGGTTACAAGCATGTCTAGTCTTGTAAAAGGAAGGAGATAGAGCCTATGGCCCCCATAAAAGGTTATGTGACCTATGCTAGAGTCTGTTTGCTTTGTGAGACACCATGCAGATCAACACAGGGCCAAATTAAGTGTGTAAACTCTTGAGTTGTGCAATAAAACTATATGGTTTCCCCTGTACAGAACTGCAGGGTGAGATTTGCAGAAGGAATTAAATGGGAATTTCCTCTCTAAACTTTTGGGAATCCCTTCCCCTCCAACACAGTTAGGAGCTGCTTAGTCATCATCTAAAAATCTTGCCTGCAAAAAAAAGAGAGTTTTTCAAGGAAATGAGTGTCTCCAGTGGGAATGTTAACAAAGGGAATTGTATTTTTGGGGACAGAAACATTTGCCCCACTAAGAAGCAAAACAGACTAAAATAGTCAAATGTAAAATATATATGTGGCTGAAAGCAATTGTCTTAAAACTCCCAGTTTGCATCAAATTAGGCCACAGCTGAATAATAAAACTAAGAATTGAAACACTCTAGAAGGCAGTTCCAAGAAGTCCTCAACTATTAAATATTTCCATGTCTTTTGAAGATGTATGCAGAATTCCTAGCTTAATGACTGGAACAGGCCTGTTCTAGTCCAAAGGCACTGAAGGATCTCAATATGGATTAAATTACTTAGATTTTAAATTGATAAGGAAACGATAGGTTTGTTTTGGTGAAAATATATCATGGAGCCACATTTTCAGGCTTGCTGTCAAATCTAAAACTGTGAAATTCAATAATAGAACGTTCCTCTCAACCAAACCTTTTTTGTATCCTCATTTTGTCTCCTTGGCTGTCTTTTCTTTTTATTTTTTAAAAAGTATTAAAATCCAGTTGCTATCTTTGGGGCTTTTATTGCTAGTCCTGCTTTGGATATCTGTATTTATAAAGCTTCTCTCTTGGTGTAGGTGTCATAAAGGTCACTGCCATAGCCAGACAACCAGAGAAGATTTTAGTAGTTGAGATATTTTTTAATCAAGATTTAGAAATTCTGGTGAAAAGTTAAAAGGTTTGTAAAAGAAGGAAAAGGTGTGCTAGAACTACTTTACGGCACAGTCTGAACATCTTGTTTGGGCTGTATACAGTGCTCAGCAGATGTATTCATTAACAAGATTTCTTCATGAAGGAGCCCAAAATATATTTGACCCGTAATTATTGAACAGATTTTATTTAACTGTAAATGTGCTACCTACCAATCTGGTTCTGCTGGAATGTTTGTTTGGTTTTTGCAGTATGTCGCTATTCAAGGCATCTTCATTATTGTACCTGCATTTTCACCTAAATATCATGGACCCTGCTCGGAGTTACCTCAAACCATTCTTCAAAGACGCCAGTTTGCAGGCTTTGAACTGTGAACAACCTTGACCATAGATTAGAATAGCAAAAAAAGTTTGAGTGCCTTCTGTTGAAAAATCTGTGGAAGAGTGTAGATATAGCACTTCAGCTAAAGGGTACACAGGAGGTGGGGAAAAAGCTACCCTCCTGAGACACCGCTAGCTGACAGCAGCTGGGATACAGCTAGTCACAGATTGCAGGTTGCAATAGCAAGAGACAGATTCAACTTCCCTCACAGAAGGAAGATACCAACCTTGGCAAATTCTCCACACTGACTGCAAGCCAAACAAGTTTCGTTCCCTGTGCTGTTCTACTTTGTGGCATTTTTCATCATTATGGAATCAGAGCAATGTAAAAAGTACCTATGAGATGATGTTTCCTCCCGTAGCCTCTCCCTGGGGTAAAAGCATGTGCAGGGGAGTATTTTATTTTAGTAGGCTTTCTGTTTGAGCTGGCTCTCTCCTTTTGGGTAATAAGTATAAATGATGCTCTCACCTCACTCCCCCTAACATAAAAACAAAGGTGTGCCCTCAGCATTTGGAATAATAGCAATGCTAATGGCTGTAACTCAGCAAGGACAGAGGGCTGAGGACTGTCAGTTCAATCTTTCCTAACATTCCTCATG